GCAGCACGTGCTCTGTCTACACGGACATAACAACACGTGTACCTATGGATACCTATAGATATGTCGGTTGTAATCGGAAGGGTCAACCCGCCGCCCCCGCGACCCCCGCGTGGCCCCTCTCTCGCCCGTCACGCTCGGGGTCGGTGGTATCGATCGTGCGACGTTGCCAGCGCGCTACTTTCCCGCGCGTTGCCGCACCTCTAGTCGTTTGCATTGTGAGTGAACGTAGAATGAGGTATATACATTTTATTGTTATTATGACTTGTTGCTGTTGCTGTTGCTGAGTGAAAGAGACATCTTGTCGGATACGGTTACATAAAATTCTTGTAATAAGTTCGCTATCTATTTTTGTATTGAATAATATTTGTTATTGTAAACTTTATACTGTCTTGAATGGTCTGTTGTTCTTTAGAACAAACCTACGTCTTATGAATTACAAGATCAAAATGCTTTATGAAATAAATTTGATATTGTAAAGTATTTGACATACAACTTAGGAATGTAATGTCGAAATGCAAATATTCTTCACAGATACATCCACGCTTTTATTTAGAAGCTATTGAAGACTGGTTGTTCTTACTCTAGTTGTATTCCTAACATCCAATAAGTTTGTACCTTGTTGTATAAGATCAAGGGATTAACATCGTTAAAATACTATTGGCAGTAATTATTAGCCAACCTTAGTTTATATTGTAGGAACTTTTATGTTTTACTGACATATATTAAAATATCAAATAAATAACTAGCGAATCAGGTTTATGTTAGTAAAATTGTTGCCTTTGTTACTTTTACATCGGGGAATGACCTCATCGCTTTAAATTTTAATTATGTATTAAAATTACACTACTTTTTAAATTAACGACCTGACGCACATTACGAGTTTTTTATGATAATTAACTTACGTCTGCTCGAATCTGATAACTCTCGCGGTAATTTATGCAGCTCCCACACACACACACACACGTACATACAAGCTTATGCTAATTACACGTCAAAAAAATTTAATCATTACTTTAAAAAATATTTACTGACTGGAATGATCTTATAATTACAAATAAACTATCTAAATGTTGACTACAATGTAGACTTTAATCTATTATGTCTAAACTCCTTGATAAGTCTTAATACTTCGCTGCGAAATTCTAATTTTTGATCGACATTAAACTCTCTAACTACTGGCAGAAGAGAATCGAAGAATGACCTGTCTTCGTCTTCTACAGTATAGCTGCAACTAGGATCCGGGAAAGGGGTATTGACAAAATCTATTTTATTTCTTTCATCGTCATCTTTGTTTTCTGGTACACGTCGTCTTTTAAGATTGTCTATGGTCGACGGTACTTCTTCGCTATCACTGGCCCAGTTTGATTCGCTCAATGTTTCGAATCGTTTTCTTTTTCCGGCCAGTCTTTTGTGTTTAGGAGTTGTTTCGTCATTCCATTCTTTAGAATCGGCTTCGCTGCCCGATTGATCTTGTTTCTTGTACCGGTTGTCGAGGAACGTCAGGAATTTTGAATACATATACCTTTTACCGTCTTTCTTTCTGAGATCACGTACGTAAGAATCCTTTATGTTGCGCCATTTGCATTGCAGCTTTTTGTCTGGAAAAGGGATCAAATTGTAGTCATATCTACTTTAAATATTTGAAAATTGTTTAGTCTCGATAAAATTAAATAAAGTTTTTCTTGGGTACGGGATATTATGCTTTTACTTCAGATTATTATCTACTCAAACTATCTAAATGCATATTTAAAACATTTAAATTGATGTTAATCTGTATTTTTAATTGTTGCAATAAAATCCAAAAATGTACAATAAATATCTACATTTATTAATTTTAAATACATTTTGTTTTCGCTTTATTATCTGCTTTTTTTAAAATCTTATTTGTTAATACGAAAGTTTAGATGAATGAATAGACGTGGACAAAGTCGCAGGCGACAGCTAGTAGTTTATAAATGTAAGTCGTAGGCTGGAAGCCACACCTTGTTTCCACCTACTGTGCTATGTGAAGTTTTACGTAAGTTCGCCTACGCTGTATAACTGCTAAGTCATAGTCTGCCTACATTTAAGTCGTGCTGTTGAGATTATGTGACAAGGCTCTTAGGTCACGACCTTTTTGTCCTACATTTGTGTATACTTAGCCGTATCAGGATTAGCAGAATAGAGAAGAAACTCGAGAAATTGTAAAGGCGCCTTTGGGTTGATAGAATTTTAATAAATGTTTGATTTTTTTTCGACGATTGTAATATTCGGTTCAAGTATTTATTACGTATTATTATTGTTCAACTAGTAATTTATTTCTGGTATAGGGCAAAAACGGTCGATACATGTATCGACCTAGTATTAAGGACATAAACCCTTAGTTTTTGAGAAAAAAAATGTTTGTATAAAACATACTGTCATCCCTCTCATTATCTTTGTAAAAACAAAGATAACAATGTTAATGTTTTAAGCTGGGATTTTGGTCTCGGAAACCCAAGGTGAGAGAACTTCGATTGCCTTCATCGCTACTCACCGACTTCTGCCTTCTCGTGTTCCGGCAGATCATCAAAGTCTGTGATGAGCATCCGTGCGATATGAGTCCACGCCCGCTGTTTTCTAGTTTTGTGGTTATTGTCCTCGCAGTTAGCGTCCCATATCACCGGGTACTTTTTCACTTCACTTATGAACATTTCCACGTCAAGGCAGAAAGTCATAATTCATGTCATTTGATTACGTTGCATAAAACGTAGCGTATCCGCTGCGAGTGCGGGCGCGACTGTTCCGGGGGCCGCGCGGCTGGGAATGGCGTACGCCCGCCGCCCGCAGCCCGCATCGCGTCCGGTGCGGCGCCGCTGCGGCTCCGACGCGGCTGCACGGTGCGGCAACACCCGACCGCAAGCCGGTCGTACGGTGCGGCAACGTCGCACTGCACACAAACAAGTCTCGCTTGACTTTTTCTTGTGTTGTTTGTGCACGCTCGTTTTGTGCCGACTACGACTTTGGCCCCTAAATCCAAAATTTTCCACAACTGTATTACTTATTGAATATGATTCATTTGTTTACGTTAAGTACATTACTTGATATCGAATAAATTGAAATTAAAGTATATGCACCTACCTTATAAAGATGGCATTTAAACTGAAAATAAAAAATAATTTTAAGGAATTTAACTTCCTTATGAGAAAAAACTTCAGTAAAGAATTTGGCTTTTTACATTTTGAAATGGTATTCTTAAATAGAGTAATGTGCGGTGGCGTCATCATTTCCTCAATGGTCCTTACGTCCTGAGGAAAGACCACCTAACCTAGATATCCACGACGATTAAGAGTTCATTGTATTCTGAATTTAAAATTCTCAGATTTTTATCATTTTGTTTCATCTCCCTTTATTTTTAAAATAATTTATTTTCTTTAACTATGTTTAAAACATTAGTTTACAAGACAAAATACAATATTTTTAATCCTGACTTTGGTTGTAACATTTTAAATCAAATAACTATTAATTTAAATTGCATCGTACTTATTTATTTCATTTCTTATATCATAAGTTTTTTCTCGATAGTAAATTAAAGCTTTCAACTAATGTTTACATTAAGCCAGTACAGTAGGACAGTAGCACTCGAAATTAGCACTAGCATACGAACTTTAACCGGCGTCAATGAGCCAAAAGTGTCCAAGCTACTGTCGTATAGTACTAGCATAATGTAACCAGGCATTCCAGGCAAAGTTTTCGTCAGTTTCGTACGTTATGCGCGCTTGTTTTATGGCCTTGAGGGACGTCCGTGTCCTTATCATGAATAACATTGACTTTGAACATTGTGTTTTTATAAATCAATGTAAGACAGCCGTTCGTTAACTCGCGCTCGGAACAATTGAGGTACGTTTGAAGGGCAATCAGATATGTGGATGTATTCAGTTTATTTTGCAAATATACACAAAGATTTGCATACAAAAATCTAATCAAAATTCTAAGTAAAAAATATTTATGTATATAACTTAAGCGAACTATCAGACTACAACTATTAAATTAAAACTTTAAATTTTGTGTGTTTTTTTTTTCAAATGAATTTTTATCCCGGGTTTATTAAAGTCCATATATCCAAGTAATCCTAAATGAAAAATGAAAAGCATTTCGGGTCGGTTGGGGAACACATAGCTCACCCACATTGCCGCCCCGCACCGCGCCGACCTCTCCAAGTTATGGCACAACTCTAGAATAATGGCTGTTTTCAATTTAAAATAGGACGCTCGCTTGCTCGCGGAATATGTGATATTGTTTTTCAAGTTCCTTACAGAATACTGGTTACACTGACACGTGTAACATTGTTTTTTTAAATCACTAAAACTGATTGTGAATCCTACTCTGTCGATTTAATTTTTTTTCGAAAAACAAAAATTTCTCTCTTTTTAGCCCTCTTCAAAAACAAAGAGGTTATCAATTCGTCTGTATTTTTTTTATGTTATCGCATAACTCCGTTCCTGGTGCTCCGATTTTGATGGAAAGGTTTTTTTGTCTAACTTTCCCACCTGATATGTGATGGCGATGAATCCTTTTCCTCAAAGAAAGTTTTTCTTCCTATTCGTCAAAAAATCATATCTACGACTTGTTTTTTACATGTCTTATTTATTATTACTTTTTTTTTATGTGAACTATATAAAGAATTAAAACTGAATGAATTGTATGTAAATAGGACATAAAATGTAGATGATTGTTATGTTTTATTATATATAAGATCCAGTCACGATCATTCATAGTATTTAATAAACATTGCAAATTAAAAACAATACGTGTTGTGCTATAATATTGACTTTTCCATTGTCTGTTTCAGGTACCTAAGCATAGCGAGGTGAGCACTCAAACAAATATTTTTTATTATAACTATTTATTAAGGTTAACAGTCTTTGTAACTATAATTAACAACAATTTTAAGCTTCACACACATACCTTAGGTTGTGTTAAATTAGCCATACGTAATACTTAACACGTTAGCTGCCAAAACGATTTTTCGAAAAACGATATTTTTTTATTTTTGTCCAAAACCATTTGAATGGGCCCTTGCTTGTCACGCTGTATACAACAATTCGATTAAAAGCCACAGCGAGGTGTTGAATGGAAGTATGGCTTGTAGGACACATAGTACGACATGACAGCTAACGTGTTAATAAAGATATATTTATATATTCGTAACATTTTCTTACGAAAACCGTATTTTATTACTTGTCAAAATACTTATATTAATTACTATCATCTTTGTTAAAAGTATTTCGAGAGAGTAAACCTCTAAAAATGGATAGGCGATTGCTTGCAAATTACAGCTTTTGTTTTTAAGTTCTAATCCACACCACCGCTACAATCAACGCCAAAATGGCAAACAGCGAATAGGCACATATTAGCACGTCTTATACCCATTCCATTTACAAAGGTTAGTTGAACGAACTAACGGTCAACAATAATCATTCAATGCTGTCACTTCTTTGTGGTTTGACATCTGTCACATTTCGCTCCGTCGAAGTTCCAGGTGTTAGGTTACTATAATGACAGGAGACAGCTTCCTGCATTATGTTAGCGATCTGAGCACGTGTCCACATTTTGATATTAGAAGGCAGTTGTCTCATTTCGGGCACGAATGATAGAAGGAATAATTTGTCAGCATCTGACTCCACGTCGTTGGGTATTTCTACGTTGTTGAAGACAGGCATTTCAAACTCTTCCGGTGGCTGACTTTCATCCGAATTGGAGATTGGTGCTTTCTTCTTCTTCTTTCTTGACTCTCGACTTAAAGGACTAAATGTCTCATGGAACGGATCGCTTTCTGTTGGGGTTTCGCTTGTTGTATTGTCACTGGGGAGAAAATAAAAAAAATACTTTTTGTTTTAAAATTATTTACGAACCCAATAAATGGGCGTTCGAGGTTATCAAAAATTTGAAAAACAACGTTAATAATTTTCAATATAAAATTCAAAATTCTCCAGAACTGATGCAATTTTAGTGCGGACTTTTTTATAATCGCAAAGTCATCTTATCGTATTCGCCCGAGTTCCGATAAAAAATCCATTACGTGACTGCAAGCTTTATAAAATGTTTTGCATATTTTATCTGACTGGGAACAGCAGTGAAAGCCGCGTCTTTATCTTAATTGATATAATTATATGGAACTCAGATTACAAGAGATATCGTATCTTAAGCTAATTCTCTAATTAGATGAACTATATTAGTTCTTTGTCTAATAACATATAATTTAACTCGCGTTATACTGAAACTTAGTGTAGTCACCACTAAAGAGTCCCTGAGTAAAAAAAAACTGCACTAAAGGACTGCTTAACTGACTATAACATTACTCTAAGTTCTTAAAAGTGCTGCTAAAAGAAATTCATCACTAAACTTCAAACTATTTAAAGTCCTTCACTGTTGTACTAAGTGGGGTTTAATTCTAGTACTTACTCCTCACTCACAGAGCCTTCAAATCCACCGAGGAATGTCATCTTCTTGAAATATATGTAAACACGTCTATGCACCCTGACACCGGAGCGACGTGATCTTAGCTCTCTGTTGTACGCGTCCCGAAGTGATCGCCATTTTCTCTGGATCTGTAGGACTATACTGACACTAAGCTATATGTCTCTCTCACTCCCTCAATATTAATATAGAAGAAAAGAGAAGAAAAAACAGTTTTGTATTGCACCAATTCTATAAATTTTGTGACCTTGTATTTTCGTTAAATTGACTTTTTGATAAAATTTTAATTGATACCATTTAACAGTTTTAATAAAAATCAAATGTCTTCACGAAGAACAATAGAAGCACAATTTATTTATAATACTTTAGTAATTGAGCAGTTTTCTTTTTTATTTGCAGTATTAACAAACGTTTATCTAAACAATCGCGACGTACTAATTGAGACTTCAGATTCTGTGACCTTGAAGTTCAGTCACGACTATACGATAAAAAGCGTTAAGTAAATAACAATTAATTACATAGAACAAACTAAGCTTTTATATTCCCACAAGTTTTGAATTAAAAAAGAATTTGCCTCATTGTATTTTGTTTTAAAAATTAGTTTTATAAACATAACTTGTCACGCCCGACTACGTCCGCGCGAAATTAAAAAAAACAATTCATGAGTAGCCAATGTGTTCATCCAGACTATGTTCTATATCTGTCCCGTGTGAACCGTTCCAAATATACCTTTAAGCAAACATCCATCCATCTTAACATTCGCATTTATAAAATTGTTTTATAACATATGTAAATGTGATTTTATTACAGAATAAACAAATAATTCTATTATCTAAGATTACATTGATTTATTAAATATATTTTATACAAAGGCCATCACATCGTAATGCCGACTTTTAAATGATACTTAAAATAGTTCTAATATGAGCAATAAATTCAAACTCCTAATACTGTGCGAACAAAACACGCATGATTTTTTAATATATGACATAACGAACGAAGAATGTCTGTATATAATTTTATGAGATACGAGTTTTAATTATTATTTTGCAATTGATTCATAGTATGTATACATGTTTTCACCAATTCCGTAACAAATAAAAAACTAATCCTAACCATAACATGAAGCACATATTGTCTTAAAATGACCCTATAAATTATCGTTTTTATTTAAATGTTCCAAAAAAATGCTTACAAACGTTCCAATACCTGCATGATACATTGTCGCTTTGTTGAAAGTACTCCAATTAGGAAATAAAGCAGCCCCGACTTCTTTCCATAGCTTTAGTCTTTCCAGACGATCTCTGGGATGGTCCGGTTCATATAATCCTGGTCGCTTTTTAACCTCCTCTATAAGTGTTAAAGGATTGAAGTTAGATATAACATCGGGATCGGCCATGTTTGTGCGACGGAAAAAACGCAACGGGCACTCAGCTGCGGCGACGCGACGCGACTGGTGAGTCGTGTCGTAGTGGGCAGGCGCGCTGCGACTTGCTGTGCCTGTTGCCCGATGCCCGCCCACTGCGACAGTCGCGCGCGGCTGCATTGCGTACCAGACGCATCCAAGTGCGCGCCGCGTCGCTAAGTCGCAGTAACCAGATCGTAAAAATATTAAAACGACAAGGACGCAGTCCCCATTGATATTGCTAAAATCTTCGTTAACATTAATTAAATACAATATTTAATACTTTCCCATATTTAAATTTTACGATATTTTTTCCGTCGTATTTTTCAACTCATAGAAATATACCTTCGACTAATGAATCCCGGAAACATTGTTTTAAACGGCTACATTAAGAAACAGTTATTTTAATTAACCTTGTTTTTGGCGAGGTTATTAAAATAAAACGCTCTATTTACATTAAACTTTTCGATTTTCCTGTTTACAACAGCCTAAACTGCAGTTATAATAATAAAACCAAACGTCATATGAGAACAATTTAACAAAACCTTAATAACTTACTAATATTATAAATGCGTATGTTAAGATGGATGTTTGTAAGTATCTCCAGAACGGCTTAACGTATTACGATTAAATGTAGCATAGATAACGTAGTGGCAGCACATAGGCTACTAAATAGATTTCTTAATTCCGCGCGGACGGAGTCTGGGCGACAGCTAGTTAATCCATAAACTGATTTCTATCATTTAAGCAGAAATCTCTCTTTAACTCATGTAATTGTACTGTCTTACCTTTTGTAACTATGTCATTAAAATCCTTAGGAATTGAAAGAATTTTTTCTTGTAGAAAACAGCATACAGAAGTAAAATAAACTTATACGTCGGGAGATTTTTTTGCGTGTGGGCGTAAGCTTTTATTTACATCAAAACAACTTTGTTTACGATCGTCTTTGTGTACTTTCTATACATATCTTATATCGTAAATGTAAGATTTCCTTATACGACTTTACAAAACATTAAACTTGTTTAAGTGAATTTTGAAATCGATTTAAAGAACAATTTTTATCGTATCAGTAATAAAAGATATCTTTAGAGAGCGATGACCTCAAGATAAACGTCGCTAAATCTTTTAAGCGACCCTTTTTATATTTCCAAGGAACGTTTTTGCGAGATTTACTTTAAAAACGATTGTTATAACATTCAACAAAAATACGTGGTTACAGATAAATTACAAAAGCTTTGGTTCCTAGTAGAGATTAGAACTTTACAATTTTTTGTCGACAGTAGAAAATTATAGCTGTCGCACGCGACTCCTTCCGCAATGTATTAAAAAATTAATTAGTAGTCTATGTGTTCTTTCAGACTATGTTCTACATCTATGGCAAATTTCAGCGAGATCTGTACACCAGTTCTGGAGATACCTTCTTGTAAACATCCATCTATCCATCTAAACATTCACATTTATAATATTAGTAAGACTAACTCAAGCGGCTATAACCGACTATAACCAGATCACTCCGACTTAGGAATACTTTCCACTAGGCCAGCTGTGATATATATTCTATTTTTTTTTATAAATCAGGCTAGCGCGACGTTGCCAGCTCGCGGTAAGTGCGCGACGTTGCCGCTCTGCTTTTGTTTTTTTTTACACTCTGTACAGTTATAGAACCTTTTTGTACTTTGATGCAGTTTTCATGTCACGCCAAAAAATTTCAACTTCGTGGTACCTTTTTAATAATGTAAGCTAACGTATTTTTAATAATAACTACAAAACTTGGACGAATAATGTTGTTGAGAAAAATTTTATTCACTTTTACAAATTTTATGTCTGGAGTTTTATTCAACGTTAATACCGATATAATAATATAAATGATATAAATATTTGTTTAGTTGTGGGGGTGTCCATAAATTTTGGAATAACGTATTGTACGTTACTCCAAAATTTACGAGGTGAAACGAGACATTAATATTTATTGAATAAGATAATCACCAATTTTCTGATATTTCAGAAATAATAAACTTGTTTTCTATCGTATTTATTTGGATTATAAAAATGGTCCTTCGAGCACAATTTGAATTTGGGAAATGACAAGTTTTAACGAATTCACCGTGAGTTTCCCCACACAAAAATTTCTGTTAAAAACATAATAGTTATCTTTGTGTTGTTAAAGATGACATGACAATGGTGACGATATGTTTCATACAGAAATTTCAGTCACAGAAGTCTTCCAGTTTATATATTTAGTTACTCATAACATATTAAAATTTAAATCCTCTTAGTAGATCTAATAAAAGATTCTATAATGGTTAAATAAATTAACGAGGATCTGTGGTTTTTAAACATTAACTATATTGTTTTATTTTAGAATCAGTGATTGCGAGGCAACGTGGGCGTAACCTATGAGCTGTTGGATAGATCGATAGTTGTTCAGACTTGTTTATTGTTGGCACGGTATAACTTTGAGTGAGCTTTACAACTTGTTATGGTAGGAATTTGTAACTAAGCCTATTAAATTGTATACATCAAAGTAAGGAAAAAGATGTGTAATTATAATCAAGAGAAAAAAGTCCAGAGAGTCTTATATTACACTAGATGCCGATCAAGTGATTGAATATTGAAAATACAATAACAAAAACATAATTAAAATTTCATTAAAATAACGTGTAACATTTCCTTTTGTGTGGTAAAAGAAATGTTATCAATGTGTCATTCACGTGACGTAATAGCAAGGAGTGTTCGTGTTGCCATTGAAAATGTAAGATAAAGAATTCAATAATGCACATAAACTTACGTTATTAATTACTTTAAATATCCACACTCGCTATAATTACGATCAAAACAACGAAAATTGTGAAAACAACTCGTGGTATGTATGTGGGTGCGACGTTGCCGCTCCGTGCGAACCGCTAGGCGGCGTTGCCGGCTCGACCCACTTCCCGGGCGACGGGCCGCGACGCGCGCTTTTTTTCCTCCGCGCGGCTAAATTCTCCCGCGCTGTTGTTTATAGCTTAATTGCGGACTTCAGCATTCTTAAGGTCGTCCTTCCTGGTACGAAGTTCTACATGACATTCGCTATGCGTGTATTTGGCTTTAATAAATCTAAATGCCACGAGGATATAAATTGTTGACGACTGTTGAAGTTATTCTTATACAATTGAGGGCAACAAACCTGTTTTAATTTACTTTATTTGCTGGAATAATCTGATATCTTCGATGTTTGGTTTTGCTACAGAGTTGTTGAAATTTCTGGTTTCCTACAGTTTAATATAAAGGTATCTTTTATACAATAGTTTTTTACTTTTCTAGTTCTGTATGTGTCTACCAAATATAATTTTCGTTTCTTTATTTTTGTTGCCTTCGAATTAAACAAATTTGCATCTACTTTACTATAAAATATATGTTAATAATAATTAATTTAAACTTTATATTCATAGCTCACAAAGAAGCTTTTAAATTTAATATTTTTAAATTATAATTTTACAAAATCTAGTCGTGTTGTTAAGGTGAATGTAGTATGTCTGTACGGAACCGGTTCTGACACCCGGCAAATATAACCACACGTCGAAATTACTTCTTAAAATGGAGATAGGTTGAAAAAAAAACATATCTACCTGGAATAGATCAGGTCCTGTCAGACATTGGGATGTTTAATATGATGTAAGATAATAAAAAGTAATAATTACACCAACGAAGTTAAAGGTATTTTTATTTATTAGTATGAACTTTTTAATATTAACTAGCGGTATGTCCTGGCTTTGCTTGGCTTCGTAATACTCAGGATTGATGTAGCATTCTGATGGTCAAATAGTTTTTAAATGTATTATGGAAAAAACTCCACTATTTCAAAGGAAAAAAGTTACAGTTTGATAATTGATATATCCCGGACAATGCCGGGGATAAACAACTAGTCTATGCCTGCAGTATATACCTGTTTGCAAATAGTTATAACAACGGGCAATATAATTATTGTGATAGTCGCTTCTCGGCTATTTGCATATAATGCCACGTCTCTTGGAAGTCACCGACTAGGGATGCGAAACATCGATATATAAAACAAAATATTCGTTTTTTTTTATTTAATTGTTAATACTAATGATAAGGGCATATATATTTTTATTTTACTTTAAAGATTTACTAACAATGAACAATATCAATGAAAAAAAAATGTAATTCCTTAAGTTTCTTTACATTTATAATGGTTCAATACTTACAAACACAAGGTAAGTAAATTACTCTTTTAAGTTTAGCTTTTAGTTCAAAATAAAATTTATAATTAATTATACACCCATATTCGATAGATATTTATTACTACATAGGTATTCTGTAGCTATTTGTTGATTCCAGTTGTATCGATGAATTGTTATATCGATATTCGACAAGATAAAATACACATCACTATTGTGGGGGAGAGGTTTTTGCTACGTGGCTCGCACAATGCACATCCGGCGCATTGTCGGCCTCAGATCAGCATCTTCATGCGCCCTGCACATGACATATGCAACGTAATGTTTTACAATGAGTATGCAACTCATCTACACTGACAATCACCACACATCCTTACAGGTAGAAAACTTTAAAAATCACTATCTTATATATAAAATTCTCGTGTCACTATTTTCGTTCACATACTCCTTCGAAACGGCTTTACCGATTCTCATGAAATTTTGTGAGCATATTGAGTAGGTCTGAGAATCGTCTAACATCTATTTGTAATCCCGCGCGGACGGTGTCGCGGGCGATAGCTAGTAAAAAATAGATTCTCTTTGTAAAAATAGAGATATCTTACTTCTTACCTATATAATGAATTCAAATGTTTAGATGAAAGAAAACTATTTAAATATCAAGACCAGATCCTTGTTCAGTATTCCAGTTTCGCGCTATTAAATGTCTTCATTACTTACTCTCTGTTAATATGACCAACTACTCTTTGCATTCCAACAATTAAACTATTTGCGTCATTATTGCTCTAGAACAAAGAGGTTATATGTAAATTTTATTACAAATAGTTCAACGACATCGATAAGACAACCACGTAACAGCTGGAATGCGGTCCTTCATAATAAATTACTTATTTGTTTATCTATTACGCGCTAACAAAATAACCTATGTCTAATACATCAAATTACACATGGTTTAAAAGGTTCATGGTCTTCTAGCTATTGTGCCACCATACGTATTTCGATGCCATAAAATAATATTATTGTTTAGTTACATATTTATATATTTTTCATATTTTATATAAAAAATAATCTCCAGCTTGATACCTTCACGCG